CAGTAACCCTTCCAGGCCTCGCAAAGAGAACTATGCTGTGAACCCACTGACTGCGGCTCTTCATCGAGAAAACTCTTCTCCCCTACGTGGTCCAGTCCACGCATGGCTGGCAGCAATCACAAAGTGACTCTGGATATCAAGTGTAAGCTCCTGATGACTTCCCAGGTGTCCAGGGAAAAGGACAACTGAAAGGCAGCTTCAAGGCCGCATCAATCTTTCTGGTTTAAGAAAAGCTTCAACACCCAGGTATCAGCATCGAGAAGCCAGGGGGAAACATCCCTTTTAAAAAGAAAGAAGTCCTGGGCACTTGGTACCTGCATCCTGGAGGCTCTGTTGTATAATCCTGACTCGGCCTTGCCGGGAGGCACACCTCAGCCTTCCCGACATGTGACTGCAGCTGGCCCTGAATAGTTTCTCTTCTGGAGAATGGCCTGCAATTAATCTCACTTATTACCTCTGAAAAGTAACAACAGAGGAATGGCTGGCCAAGTCCAACTCCAGAGTGTCTAGGGAGAAGCTAGCTCCACGGCCAGGCCTCAGACTGTCTGGGCAAGTCGTGGGCTCTCTGCCTTCCTCTCCCACAACAAAGCTCGAGCAGGGACTCCAGACAGACCAGAGGAACTGAGGGATTTGAGGCGCTGGGCTGAGCTCACATTGACCCAAAGGGAGACGGCAGCCCCGAGGCTACGACTGGGGTGGGTTCAAAAGAGCGGGGGAAGTACAAGGTTGTCTGGTGAGAATGTGTGTGATCCATGAAGTTGAGAACAATAGCAACACTACAGGGAAATGAAAAAGAAGCCTGTTGGCCGAGTTCTTGTGAGTCACCAGTTTCCCTTGCTGAGGTCCCAAGTCACTGGCTCTGAAGGCACACTGGGACGAGTGTCACAGCCAGCAGAGGGGTTCTGTCTGTCTCCTGGCTGTTTACAGCACAGCCCCTGCAGCCCCTTGTTGGGTGAACTCTCAGAATTTATCAGCACTGGGATCTACTGCTGCTATTGTAGAAGCACTAGCAAGAGTTCCTTTTATTTATTTAGTGCCCACTTCCAGAGAGATCAAAGTGCTTTGAGGGCAAGCTAAAGGCTCTCAAACAGGTCAATTTGCAAGTAAGGATGTTTACTCCCTAAAAAGATTATATAAATAGCTTAGGGTCACTTAATGTCAAAACCAGTAATAAAACTCACATCTCTAAGCTGCTAATTCCATAGTCTCTCAACTGAGTCACCGTTATTTTTAAGACAGAAAACACGAGAGGCGAAACAAATTTTCCACAAAATGTGACACAGCACAGGTATGCATCGCTTAACATCCACAACGTACTCTGTTAAGCAGGGCTTTATGTGATGTGGATGCGGCACAAACATCCTATTATGTGGAGCATATGTTTATAGATATTCAATGCACATATACCAAAGAAGCCCCATGTAGGCTGCTCGGTTTCCCCGTTAGTAGCTGGAGGCTCCTTGGGGTCTGCGAACTTGTACCTGCAGCTGGCTGTCCCAGGGAGCCTGGACAGAATCAGAAGCTCTGAAGGATGGACGGAACGCACAGCCCTGTATCATACCAAAGGCACTGATCGATCTACGGGACAGCTGGGCAGAGTACCCGCTACCAGCAGCCTTGGGAGGCTGACTCTGCTTCTTGGTGCTCTTCCAAGCAAAGCCCCTTCATGTCCCAGGGCTCTCCAGGTGGTCAGATGTGGGCCAAAAGACAGTAAACAGCATGCGGCATCAGGACTGGAGGAAGACTTATCAACAACCTGCATTATGAAAACGACACAACCTTGCTTACTGAAACTGAGAAGGATCTGAAGTGCTTGCTGCAGAAAGTCAAGGACTAAAGTCTTCACTATGGATTGAATCTCAACATTAAGAAAACAGATTTTCACCAATGGGTCAATAGGGCAGCACCATTTTGGATGGAGAAGAGACTGAGGTCGTTAACAGTACAGCTTGCTTGGCTCCACAATCAACACTCCCGGCACCAGCAGTCAGGAAATCAAAAGATAAATTGCACTGTGAAAATCTGATGTCAGGGACCTCTCCAGAGTACTGGGAAGCAATGATGTCAGTCTAGAGATGAAGGTGCAACTGATCTAGGTCATAGTCTTCGTAATTACTTGCTATCTATCAGAGAGTTGGACAGTGACTAAGGATGAGAGAAGAAACCTTTGAGTTGTGATGATGGAGATTCTCGAACATATCCTGGACAGCCAAAAAACCCAAATAGGTCTGTCTTGGAGAGGGTGAAACAAAGTTTTCCTTGGAGGCTAGGATTTTGAAGCTCTGTCTCATACTTTCAGCACATGGCCAGGAGTGACCAGTCCTTGGAGAAGAACATCATGCTTGGAAGGGCGGAGGGACAGCGAGGAGAGGAAGACTCCAGATGACATGGATTGATACAGTAACTGTGGCAATGGGGGTAGGTGTGTCGGAGTCAGTGAGACTGGCTCAGGACAGGGCAGGCTTCAGAGCTGTGGTACATAGGGTCACTATGAGTCACCGGTGACTCGACAGCACATGACAACAACTTGTACTTGTACTGTGCAGAATGCTGGCTGAGGGGCTGGCTGGGACCCACCTCGGAGCCAGGTCTGTAAAACGGATTCTGAGAACTCACCTGGGACTGCTTTAGGGTAGGTATGCCTGGGACATCCATGTGGACTGGTGGCCAGGAGGCGAGCTCCCCAGCAGTCCTGACAATGAGACATATCTGAATGGGGAAGAGCAGTTCCCAGGGCTTCTCTAGGCTTTACTGGGACCTGAATGCTGGCCCTTCCACTTGAAGAAGTGAAACAATGGCCACTGTGAACACAACTAATCCAGAAAGGAAAAGACCAGTGAACTTCAAGGAAGGAGTGCTTTTATGGACATGATCCGCCTGGGGAGAGGGTCACTTTGAGTGCTGGCCTCTAAGTCTGACCTGTTAATGTTATCTTTCCATCTCGACATTAATGATTAAATATGACAACAAGAACTGATGTCTTTCTCCTGTGGTGTTGGATTCGAGTACTAGCAGGGAGAAGATGGACTAACAAAAGCAAACAAGTCTGTTTCGGCGGGCGCGCAAGCAGGGTGCTCCCTGCAGGCAAGGACGACGACACTTCATCTAACATACTTTCGGTGCACTGTCTAGAGGCACACTGTCCAGTCTTTTAAAAAAGATACCATGCTGGGAAAGGCAGAGGGTCAGTGAAAGAGAGGAAGACTCACAGGACGGACTGACACGGTGACTGCAGCAATGGGCACAAATGTCGTTGTCTGTGCTGATGAGGCTACACAGGCAAGGCTCGGATCTGAAGTTTATAAGGTGCTATGAACGGCTGTTTACTCAATGGCAACAAACAACTATAAGAGAAGGCTCTAAACCCAAGACTAATTTTTATTTTAAAAAACTTTTCCCCATTTTTATCTGTAAGTATATATAAAAAAATGTTAAAACTCTACTTTTCAAAAATACAGTATTATCTTGTTTACAGTATGGAAAATGACTGGAGCCTGTCCTATAGATGTATCCAGATGTAGAGAAAATGTTTTTTCCTAGAAACAAGGCTTTGATTTCACAATGCATTTATGGAAAATAAACATCTAGAGTATAAAAGCGGGCTTGGTGGGGGGAGTCTGAAGGGAGCTGTGCTAGGAGCCCGTGCCTCTGGCGGCTCTAATCCACTCATGGAACCATGGCCAGTCTCCTCCCATGCGATTTCCATCCCTGGAAACCCACTGCAGGAGGAGCTATAAGTCAGTTCCGATTCAATAATAGTTTTTGAGGACTTCTTTTTTCTGAATAGTCTGGTAAGAATTTATTTACCCAATAGGTTCAAAGGTAAATCACCAAACAACAGATTTCTCCTGCTAAGAGAATGGTGTGGCAGAATCTCCTACCTTAAAAAATTGCTTCCTCTGGGTCTTTGACTCTTTGTAATTCTTAAATGAGATGACTGTGTTTTCTCCCCTGACCACAATTTTTACCAGCACGAAAGACATCATACCAAACAGAGCATGAGGTAATGTGCTTATGTTTATGTTGTTTCCTGGGCAAAGTTCCTGTTTCCCAAGTTAGCTCCATAAGTAATCATTCTAGCAGCAATAGGTACTTTGGTAACAATTAGGTATTTGCTCCAAGTCTCAGATCAACGCTTTTCAAGCTCAGGGGCACGACTGCTACACTAAGAGACGGGGGTGCATAGCTGGAAGGGCTGCCTGGGGGTGGAACTCAGGAACACCTGGTGTGGAGCATCTTTATTTGGAACAAGCAAGGGCTCAGCCGGTGACAACACTCAATGGTAACAGTCATATTTCTTTCGAGCTCCTGTGACTCTGAAATAGGTTCTATTTAATTCTTATTTACTGGCAAGTACTCGAAATTTATTCATTATATCCTTTAATACACACACAGAGGACCAACAAAAAACAGTGACGCAAACCTAAGATTTAGTTCAACGGTTTCTCTTCTGAGACTTTGCATACTTTATGGTCAGAATTGATTTGGATCTTATTTGTTACCACTTCTCTTCACCATATAACGGTAATTTCCTTCCCATCTCAAAAGAACATTTTCCAAAGAGGCTGGTGAGGTTTTACGATATAAGCTCGACGAAAATATTAAAAACAAGTATATCTTTCAGAAGGAAAGAGTCCAAAGACATTAAAACACAGCACAGCACGAAGTCTAAAAAGATGAGGAAACAAGAGGACGATGTCCAAAATCAGTATGTGACAATGGTGACGATAGGCAAGGATTAAAAAACACAAAGTTTTGCTCTCTCACCCAGGAGGAAATGAAACAGCATCAGAGACGCCAGTTTCACTTGGTTTAGGCTCAAACACTACGACAAGTGAGACAAGGCCTTCCTGTGCAAGCCCAGAGGACTTGGCCATTCGGAGCATGGCACTGCCTTCCTGGTGTCTGTCCAGGTGGGAGGGGCGTGGTATGGTGTGCAGAGGACCCAAGCCATCCTTGGGTAAAGCCAACGCTACCTCCACAGCCCGCCCTTCACATACCTGCTTCCAGGAGGGCTGGGCTGGCTCTCGGGGAGCTGGGGATCTGGCTGTGTTGACCACGTTGGGCCACTCGGACTGATTACGGGCCGAAGGTTGGGGGGAGCTGAAGCACTGCTTCTGCTTAGGACACCACTGGCCAAATTCAGGTTGGTTACCTAGAAGGGAAGGGAGGGAAACAGCGTGATTTCACAGAGTTTGAGGAAAAGTAGCATTAAAAACATATGGGCAAAACTCAGAATCCAGTCGAGGCCAGGAGATGCTGACTCATCCCGGCCGCAATAGTGGCCGTGTCAGCGGCACCGTTAAAGGCTGGCGTCTGCATACAAACAGCCTAAGTGAGGGGGGGTCCTTGTTGCTGGACACTAGTAAGCATTTCTTCTGCTCCTATACACAAGGCATTGACCTTTGCGAGGTGCAATGAAATACAAACATGAGTAACAGAATTTGCAGGAATTTACTCAGTCCTTCTGCTGTGCCAGGAAATGTTCTCAGAAACTGGGCAAATGACTTTGTCTTTCTGGCCCTTATTTTCTCAGCTGATAGTTCCAAATGGTCAATAGAGTCTAGTTGTTATTACTAATATAAGACTCAGAAAGTCAGTGATATGGAAGAAAAAGCTGGGTTGTTAACAAGCAAATGGGTACCCTGACTTAAACAATTTTAAAGAGGTAATACAATCAGTCAATGAAAAAATGTAAAACTAGTCATTCCCACTAGCAACCAAAAAATACAAACTTTAAGAAACTGTGTGTCCTCCTCACAAAAAAATAACGTACTAAAAATACACACCAAATAGCAGCCAGATATGAAACTAACTTGCTGTTAAATGCCGTCGAGTCGTAGACCACTCACAGGGACCTTATGAAAGAAAGACCTGAAAACTGGCTTAACTTTCATTGTTTCTCCAAGTTCACAGCGTTTCCAGAGGCAAGCTATTTCAGAAGTGGATGCCACTCCTGCTTCCAAGCTTGTTTTAATCAGGAAGCTCCACCAAACACTGTCCACCATGGGTAACCATTCACACATCTGACACATCAGTGTCACAGTGTTCAGCATCAGAGCAACCACAAGTTACCTCTGTACAGCAAACAGACAGACCAGTGCTATACCACTTAGCTTATGTGTCAAACGCAATAATGATAAATGAAACTAACTAGGCACTCAAATTATTTGTCACTATAAATTAGTAGAATCTTTTGAGAAATCAATTTGGCAATCATTACTAAAGACATGAAAATCTTCACATGTTGATGCTACAATCAAACTTCAAGGAAATTTGCTAAAAGTAATTGTAAAAATGATTAAGGACAGTGACAATTACATTAACAGTTGATCTTTATTAGAAGTTACTATGTCAAACTCTACCAACAACTATATTACATGTACTTTATTTATAAGTACAAAGAAAAGAAACCTGCCAAGTAGGATTGTACAAGTCAGTGGAAGAACTGGTATTTGAACCATAGCCTTTCTGGCTGCAGAGCTCATGTCTCTAAGCCCCAGAGTGACTGTGAACAAATATTTTTTTTAGAAAAATTCCAAATACTGATACTAATATTGGGAAAAGAAGACGAGCTGAAGATTTAAATGGTTAACAATACGTAGAGGTTTTTTATTGTGTTTCCACAATGGAATATTATGTAACTTCTTTGTGGGGAAATATTTAACGTGGGAAAATACTGTTAATATTGAATTTAAAAAAACCCAAAAACAAAGCAAACAACAAAAGCAAAAACCTCACAACTCAAACATCACCCCATAACTGAATGGACAGTGTTGATCTTATGTGCTGTCACGTGAGATCCCCCAGCAGGTTTTCAGAGGCTATAAGGTGCAGAAGAGGAGACTATCCATCTTCCTCCTGCAGAGTAGCTCGTGGATTTGAACTATCTGTCTTGGGGTTGGCAGTGCAGCTCCTTACCATTAAGCCACTAGAGCTCCCTATATAGAAATGAAATACAAATTTTCCTCAGCACGTACATACATACAAACATATACCCACACCCACGCTCTTGTTGTTGTTAGGTGCCCTCAAGTTGAGTGTGACTCGCAGAGACCTTATGACAAAACATCTCAACCCTGTCCTATCCTGTGCCATCATTAATCACGCTTCCTGACACACAAGAGCCCACTGAGGCAGTCGTTGGGTCAGTCCACGTGGTTGAGGATCTAACTCTCCTTCATTGACCCACCCTTCCCAGCATCATGTCCCTTTCCAGGGAATAGCCCTTCCTAGCATCATGCCCAAAGTATGTGAGGTGAAGTTTCATCACTTGCTATCCATCTGAAAGCTGGACAATGAATAAGGATGACAGAAAAAGAACTGATGCCTTTGAACTGTGGCACTGGAGAAGAGCACTGAACATCGTATGGTCACCCAAGAGAACAAACATATATGTCTTGGAGAGGGTGTAGTCAGAGTGCTCTTTGGAGGCAAGAAAGATGAGGCTCCACCTCATAAATGCACTAGAAAAGAAAAAAATCAAAGTATAAACAGCATCTGTCCCTGAGTTTTGGCTTATTTTCTTTCTAATATGCAACTTATATTTTAAATCCTGGGCATGACTTACTTTCAAATTTTAAAAAGATTTTTTAAAAAAAAATTACATTATTTTGAGAAATACAGATGTGAAATGATGATCTTAAAAACCTGGGTGATGGCAGTGGAATTAGAAAGTATTGTTGTGAGAAGTATTTAAAAATAAGATTTCCAAGAGATGCAGGGGTTTGAGGCCAAGGTGCTAGTGAACAGTAACATAAGTCCTCAGGTGGTTTAGTAAGTTGTAAAAAACACAAACTAAACAAGAAGAACCAGTAGAGTCAGCTATGGGTTGGTTCCAACTCGATGGAACCTTACATAACAATTAAAAAAGTGTTTTGCTCTGGATAAATTATGTATATTGTATTGAAACAGATGAGGGAAAGAACAGATTAGAAGTGATTGAAACAGATGAGGGAAAGAACAGACTAGAAGTGATATATGATTGAGTATTATGGTTAGCACAGGAATCCAGAATTAAGGTTGCATAGAGAAGTGTACTTGGGGTGGGGGGTGGGGGGAAGGGATGTGGGAATTGTATACTAATGAAGGAATTTTTTTCCTTTTTTTTTCTGTCTTCGGACGGGGAAGCAAGCTGGTGGGGAGGGGTGGGAAGGGAGAACATTGCGGCAATGAATGAATGGAAATCCAAAACCTCTGTAAAAAAAAAAAAAAATTTAAAAAAAGTGTTTTGCTATAAAACATCCTTATTAATTGTCACATACACAAATGGAATAATTCTTCATTGTTTTTTAAAAAGGAAGATAAATATCTGGGAATTCAAAAAGGAAAAAAATAATTTTTCGCAACAATATACTGATGCCTAGTTATAGAGAATTCAATAAGTAAACCCAGTCCAGATGGTGGCTTCCCACTGAAGGACTCAAGAGTCTTTTTCTTGGAAAGATCAAGACATTTTCCACAGGTGGGGTGGAATCTCTGGTGACCCTGAAGGTTGGGCTTGGAGACCATCTGACGGGGTCCTGGGGTGGGGTGGGGGGGGCTGGTCTTAAGAAGCCTCACAAGTTAGACCTGGTTTATCGTTTCTGTCCACTGTCTGACAGGGCCCTCAGAGGGGCTGGCCGTTAAGGAGAAGCCTCACGAGTTAGGCCTGGTTTATCATTTTTGTGCACCTGCTGATGGGGCCCTCACGTGAGGGGCAGAGGGTGCTTGTCTTAAGAAGCAGCCTCACGGCGAGCTCTGGTGTCCTAGTGGCAAGAAACTGCATTGCAATCCCAGAGGTGTGCGGTTCAAATCCACCGGATGCTCTACTGGAGAAGGAGTGGCAAACTCCTCCTGTGCCAATCAGATCTGATTTGACGGTACACACACACACACACACACACACACACACACACACAATAATTAAAAAAAAAACAACCAAAAACCCGAAGCCTCACGAGTTAGACCCGGTGTATCATTTCTGTCCACCTTCTGATGGGGCCCTCGGGGGGGCTGGTCTTAAGGAGAAGCCTCATGAGTTGGACCTGGTTTATCATTTCTGTCCACCTTCTGCTGCTACCAGAAGGAAGAAGGCACAACTTGCCTAAAGGTCAGGGCAGATGCTGAACTAGTTGTAGTTCACGGAGAATCTCTTCTCTGGCCCTGAACACCTCTGAAGTGCTCTGCTGTTCTTCATATACGCGAGAGGAAATGTAGTGCAATACCAGTCACTGCCACAGACGGAGACACACAGACTCCCTGCAGGAAAGAACAAACTGCTGCTCCCACAGAGAACGTCCTCCTTCTCACCCGGAACCTACGCCCAAAATGTCAGGCCTTTCAAAGTAGACATCATCTTGCAGCTTGTAAAAATATTACAAAGGGAAAAGGTTTTTAGGATAACTAACAGTTTCTCCGATTACTGCCTCAGTCAAAGCAAAAGAACTCTCGGATGTACAAAAATGTAATAGAGGCTTAATGGATAGTAATTTGTAGATCAGAAACAAAACCCGAACTTCTCATCCTGAATACAGGATTGCTGTTGTTGTTGTTGTGTACCATTGAGTCAACAGCCCCACAGCTAACCTTCTTGGGGATTTTTAGAGGCAGTTAATCGCCCATTGTCTACTGTGGAGCAGCTGGTGGATTTGAACTGCATGGCTTTCAGGACTGCAGCGCAGCTTCTTCCCACTAGGCCACCAGTGCTGCCTAGATTGGAGGCTGTTGTTGCTATTAGGTGCCATCGAGTCAAGTATGACTCATAGTGACCCTATGAAAAAAAGATTCGAACCCCGTTCTATCCTGTGCCACCCTCACACTTCTGGATACACAAGAGCCCATGGCAGCAGTCACCATGTCAATCTACCTGGTTGAGGGTCTTCCTCTCCTTTGCTGACCCTCCACCCCTCCAGCATCATATCCTTCTCTAAGGAATAGCACTTTCTAGCAACATGCCTGAACTATGTGAGGCAAAGCCTCATCATTCTTACCTCCAAAGTGCACTAGTGGGGAAGAGAAGAGATACGTTACTGGGTAAATCGATCTTGTGACGATGTCTCTGAATGAAACACCATCATTTCCATCATAATAGTTAAGACTGACTGCTCACTGTGTGCCATGCTCTAGATTATAAGTCTCTGCATTATCCTGATGTGAATTATTTATTCCTGAACA